CATTTTCCATGCTAAATTGGCTGATCTGCAGACTAATCTCACTTGAGCAAAGTTCAAGAAAATTGATAATTCAATGTTACATTGCCACACAATTAATTAGATGACTAAAATGACAATGTAGTATTTTGTAAACCCCTAACATATCTCAAACAGAAATTGAAACAGAGGAAGATCCAAATTTTAGCAACACACTCACTAGACAACAGCAAGATCCAATTTTTAGGACATTCATTTTTAGTTTATTACCAAATACCATCAAAACCTGAAGATGGAACAAGGGCCAAGAACAAATCAAAAAGATCCAACAAAAACAATATAAAAATGTCAACTTTAGGGTTTTAAGGAAAAGGGCAAAAAAAAAGCTCTTACTATTAAGCTCATCAAGCCATCGTTGGACACTCTCGAAGGTAGCTTTCCTGGTGATGTCGTAGACGACGAGGGCCCCGACGGCGCCGCGGTAGTAGGCGGAGGTGACGGCCCGAAAGCGCTCCTGCCCGGCGGTGTCCCACACCTGTGCCTTAATCTCCTTGCCGTCGAGCTCAACGACCTGGGTCTGGAACTCGACGCCGATGGTGGCCTTGGAGTTGTGGTCGAACTCGTCGCGGGCGAAGCGAGAGAGCAGATTTGACTTGCCCACTGCCGAATCTCCGATCACCACTATCTTGAACAGATACTCCTCGCCGCCTCCGCCGCCGCCTTCCTCCGCCATTGTTGTTTTGCTTTCGAAACTCTGAATTTTCCTCTGTGTGTGTGTGTGTGTGAAGAGAGGTGGGGATGGAGGAGATAAATAAAAAATTAATGGATTTTTTTTCTAATTTTGTTTAATTAATTTATTTATTTTATTGGTTTTTAAGGAGAAGTAGTGGCGCACACTCTCATTGCGTATTTCACGGGTAATAAAAGCACCTCCCAAAATTATTTATTTATTTTGGCATTTACCTATTTTAATTATTTTAAAAAATAGTATAAGTAGATAATAAATATATATAAAAGTGTATAATACTCAAATGGAGTGAGGTCTACTTGATTTTTTATTTTTTACCGAACCCATTTAATGTGAATGTTATGTACACAGTACACTTCTATATTATATATTTATAGCATTTCTCTTCTATTTTATTTATTCATTTTCAAACTAATGACACAAAAAAAAATTTACATTTAAATTTCCGTATATAAAAATAAGCAAAAATTCTCATGTAAAACAGCGTAATCATTAGGAGGGTCGACCTAAAGTACAATTTGAATGAAAATGCACAACTGGCTATCAAATATAATTCATATTTGTGTATTTGCATTTAAATAATTTTTTAAAATATGTCATTTTATAGTAAAAATCTATAAATATACAATTATTTATAAAATAAATGTATCGGCCTAATAGTTAAGTCTATCTAATATAAGACCTACTCGAAAATAAAACTTCATAAAAAATCTAATTTTTATTTTTGTTTAATAACTCGTCCAATGATTGATCACTTCAGTTTCAAAGTTTTTATCGCTCAAATTTCTAGTGATTGAAAAGATAAAACAAAAGTGATCTCGCACCCTGATGAAAAAAAAATAAAAAGATAAAATTATTGCATAGATCTTAATTTTAAACAAAAAAATCACAATTAATAAACAAATACACAAACATCAATACATTTCTATGTCATTGTTTGGTCAATATGATGGGAAAATCCAAAATTCAAATGGAACTTCCCAAAAATATAAGTGTCTTATGCGAATTCTACTTTTTTACATACTACATCAAATAAAATTTTAAATATATAAACATGTCCCCATATATATATATTTAAAACGTGTTGAACTTTAAGAGGTATGTTCGCACGCTTTGTATTCCTATATGTCAGCAACATATGTTTTGTGTTGAACACATAAGCATAATCCGATGCTAAAGTTACTTGACATTCAAACTTGAATTTTTCAAAAATAAATAATATTCATTTTATTCTTTGCAATAGAGTAAATTACCATGGAAATTCGTTATGTCGCTAACAACTAAATTATATTACATTTTTTAAAATTAATTACGAATAAAAAAAATTCAATCAAAATGGTTGGATCCATATCCAATCAAGATTATGTGTATTATTATTATTATTTATTTGAATCCCAAAATAAACAAATTGAGAATAAGTCACACTAAAGTACAAATTATATCAATCAGAAAAAAAAAAAAATGTATTTTCTTAATATTTTAAATAATTGTTGGTTTACCACCATGGCCGGTTTTCACCGCCTGAACCTGTAATAGAAGAAAAACCTAATAGTCCGCCGCCATTGCCATTCCCTAGAGGTTTTAACTCCATTTTCCTTCCCATTTTTCTTCTTACGCCCACTTCGCCGCCGGCCACCCACCACCTTCACTAGTCGGAGGAAAGGCTAATGCGGCTGCGCCGCCGACGTCAAGAAGCTTTTCACCCACGCGGTTTTTTTGTAGCTCCTATTTAGCTCAGCTTTCACTCAGTATCCATTCTTCTTACAAAAAATTTGTGTGCCGTGATGTCGTCGGCGATTGGATGTTCTTCTCTCAAAACTACTCATCAAGGTATCTTATTAGATTGTTCTGTTTCGCCAATTGATTTCCAAAATTGGCGATTTTTTCTCTCTTAGAAAAAGGGTCGCGATTTGGTTGTCTGAACATCGATTTTAACTCTCAAGATAATATTTTTTTTAGTGAAAAAGGTTTGGTTTTGTATTGATTTAAATAATGTTATGCTACACTGAGATTTATTGAGCTGGTTTTAAACTGATCCTCTGGTTGATTGTTGGTTCATATGTTTACGGGTTCGAGCTATTTTTCTGTATTCTTGTGGTATATAGAATTGGGAAATGCTACACAACGTCGGGTTTTGTAACCATTAGATCATCATGTAACCGTCTGGAATAGTTGATCTAATGGAATAGTTGATCTAACGGTTACAGGTCCCGACGGAATGGTTCCGAATCGGGACTATAGCATTTCTCTGTAGAATTATAGATACACAGTCTTGTATGAGCTTCATGTTTGTTCATTTTGATGCATTACAGTTTAGAAAGGTGACAAAACTAGCTTTGGAACAGGTCTGTGAGCAGAGTTAAGAAATCAAGAACAGAAAAGAATGAAGAATGTTAATTGGTCTTTTAATTTTTTTTTCCTTTTTTTTTGTCATCTGAGTGGGTTTTTTTTTTTT